GGAGGTGATTAGATCATGAGAATGGAACCCTCATGAATGGGACTAATGCCCTTATAAGTGAGACCTCAGAGAGTCCTCTTGTCTCTTGGGCCATGAGAAGATACAGAGAGAAGATAGCTGTCTGTGAACCAGAAAACAGGCTCTCACCAGACACCAGCTCTGCCAGTGCCTTAATCTTGGTCTTTCCAGCCTCCAGAACTGTGAGAAATAAATATCTGTTGTTTATAAGCCACTTACTCTATGGCATTTTGTTATAGTAGTAAGACAATAGTCACATAACTAGAAAATGATGATAAATTTGCCTCTATTCTTTCCCTAAATTGATACTTTCTATTTTATTCTCTTGCACTGGCTGTAAATCCAGAACAACATTATATAATAATTGTAAATTACAATTTACAAATTGTAAATTATGGGTATTCTTAACCCATTCTCCATTTTACTGGTAACAATCCTAAGTTTGGTGCTGGTTTGTTGTTTGGGATATATATTTTTGATCATGCAAGAAGCATCCATGTGTTCATATGCCTTTAAGTTTTTGTTATATTAATCAGAAATGAATTTTTAAAAGACAATCTGTTTCTTAATGGAGACCTATGTAATATATATTTCCACTTAAATTCATTTGAAACTTACAGACAATATCCAGAATATAAGCTATTTTTAAAAATAAAGGGCAAACACACTCATCTTTTAAAAGTTCTTTAGTATAATAACATTCTTTGGAAAAAACACCACCACACTGGCACAAGCTTTTTAGTTACAAATCAAATTTATTTCCTACCAATACCTTTACATGAAAAATCTTCATGTGATAAATTTTTAATCCCCAGAATACAGAAATATATGGAACTGTAACAGCCTAGCACAAGATAAAAAATTTATAAATATTCTGGTTCATTAAATGAGATTTGTCCTGTTATGGCATAATTTTAACGTAGGAGTAACCTTTTACATTTAAATATTACAGCATTTAATAGAATATAACAATGTAATTCAAACTAAGTTGTAATTTCAATACAATTACTCTTTTAATGAATTTGCAGAGAACTGGATCAATTTTCCATTCAATGAACTTTTATTATATAGATAAGGGAAGAAAAATAAGGGTGGATTGAACAACAAGGGCAATTTGTTCCCTGAATTACACTGATACATAGTAAGATTTTTATTATTTGGCATGATTTTCCTAATGAAGCACATTTCTGAAATAATAATGAGAATTATTGGGCTATATAATTAGACTACTTTTCACTCTACTTTCTATTTTTAAAGATTACCTCTAATCACTCAACTGAAGGTGAGGTATAATTTATTAAGAGAATGAACACTAATTGAGATCATCATTTTCTTGACTTCTTTTGGCCTCTATTTTTCTCTCTATACATAAGGGGGTAGGTCCAGATGCCCTCTAAGTTCATGCCCAGTTATGAACTTCATTTAGGTATCTACTTAACAGTCTCTAATAAATAGTTACAACTGTGCAAAAAAAAAAAAAAAAAAAAAAAGGCAACCTGGCAGTTTTTACTCTATTCCATTTATATTTATAGATATAATAAAAATTAATTCTAAGTCTATCATCTGATATATTTTTTGGTTTTACTGCTTCCTTTGTTGATACATTTTGCTATATAAGATTTTTAAAATTTAAGTGCTATGTACTGATGCTCCTCTATGGAAAAGTGAAAAAATAATGTACATATTTTTATTTCATCCTACTTATTCTTCTCTATAACCAAATCCTTTTTCTATAAGTTTTATCATTTTTTGGTCCTTCAGAAAATTGTCTTCATAACCTTGAATGATATATTTCAGCTTTGATTTTTTAAATTCTCCATTCTATATAATACGTATTAACTCCCTGCTAAGAAAAATGAAGAAATGAGTACATCTACATATTCCTGCCCTCATCCTTATTTCCCAACTCTGGTGTTTTTCATTCTTTATAACATTACGATAATCCTGAGAAAAAACTAAAACAGCCATCATTCTTATCAAAGTATTTCATTGTTCCTCTTATTGTAAGCAAATAAGAAGGGAGAAGTGATAACAGCTAATATCCAGTTTATGTGATTTAGATGATGATATTTAGGACTTTCGAGCTGATGAGGTTTAGATGAGCTTTTTGGACTCTGAATTGATGCTATAATGGGATGAGACTTTGAGGGACGTTGCATTTTGCATGTGGATGGATGTCAATCTTTGGGAGCCATAAGAGCAAAGTGGGAAAGGTAGAATAACAGCCTCCCAAAGAAGTTCACATTCCAGTTCCTGGAACTTGTGAATGTGTTACCTTACATGGCAAAGGGAATTTGCAAATATTTTTAAACTTTCAGAGCTTGGGATAGGGGAATTGCTTTGGATCATCTGGGTGGGTCCAATTCAATCAGATGACCTCTTAGGGATGCAAAAAGATGTCTTCTGAGAAGGAACTGACCCACTTTGAAGACAGAGGAATTGCTGAGCTAACGAATGGGTGGCCTCTAGAAGCTTGGCATGGCCCTCAGTTTATAGCCAGGAAGAAAATGGGGCCCCTGATCCTGTAGTCTCAAGAAAACGAATTCTGCTAGTAATTCACACAAGCAAGAAACAATTCTCCCCTAGAACTCTAGAAGGGAATGCAACTCTGCTGACTTGATTTAGTCCAAGGAGATTCATACCAGATTTGTGATCTAGAGAATTGTAAACTAATACATTTGTGTTGTTTTAAGACAGTACATTTGTGGTAATTTGTTAAGGCAGCAATAGAAAACTAGCATAAGCAGTTTAGTTCCATTTTAATTCCTCCCCTAGGTTAAGGGCCTTCCAGTCTGAGGTCATGTAATCTCTACCAACTTCTTGAACAAATCAGGATCCTATTAGAAAGGAGAAGGGGTGGGTGGGAGGGAGAAAGGCAATGACCAGTGCCTGCGACAAATGACTAATCCTCCTGATTTGGTTTACATCTCTAGCCCCATTCTCACGCTCTACCTCATGCTATATGATCTAGCAGTGCTAATCAATGACACTGTCTTCTGCTTCTGCGCTCGTGGTCATTCAGCTCCCTCTTCCTGGAAGACCTCCAGGCCATGCTTCATGTTATCCCATTAACCCAAATCACTGGCTGCCTTTCACTCTTCAAAACACTGCTTAGACATTCTCTTCCACTAAGCCTTCACTTCAAGAGAAAGTTGTGCAATCTTTATTTTCTGCCCTCTGTCCAGACTGAGGGCACACCCGTCCTCAGTTTCCACCCTCTGTTCATACTGCAAGAATGGTATTACCATAATAAATAACATTTATGTGTTTATATTCTCTCTCTCCTTCTGGTTGTTACCAGTGGCTATCACTATGCTCAGTAAGTGTTTGTTAAAACGATAACTATACCTAATAATATTCAAGAATTGACTGTTTCATTTATGCATTCTTCATAAGGAAATAGTACTCGATAGTACTCACCATAGACACACATAATACTTTTTATACTTTACATTATAAAAGATTTAAAAAATACACAAAAGTGGAGAGAATGTTATAATGAATCCTCATTAACTATAATTCAGCTCAATAACCATCAACATTTTCATACAGTAGCCCACATATCCACAGGGGAAACGTTCCAAGACCCCCAGGGGATGCCTGAAACCTCAGACAGTATCAGACCCTGTATACTGTGTTTTTTCCTATACATACATACCTATGATAAAGTTTAATTTATAAATGAGGCATGGTAAGAAAGTAGTAACAATACTAATAATAAAATAGAATAATTATAACAATATACTGTAATAAAAGTTACTGTAGATCTTACAACCTCAGCACACGATTTTTTTTTCTTTCCTTATTAAGTCAAGAACTTTCACCTTTTCTCTTAAAGGAAGCACTTTGTGGCTTCTCTTTGGCATACCTTAATTGCCAGTATCACTATTCTTGCACTTTAGGGCCAGTATTAAGTAAAATAAGGGTTACTTAAACACAAGTACTGTGACACCACCATAGTCAATGTGATGACTGAGACAGTGACCAACAAGCAGGTATACAGCATAGATACAATAGACAAAGGGATAATTCACATCCTGGGCAGGACAGAACCGAAGAGTACGAGATTTCATCATGCTGCTCAGAACAGCAGCAGCGTGCAATTTAAAACTTACGAATTGTTTATTTCTGGAATTTTCCATTTACCACTTTCAGACCCAAATTGACCACAGGTAACTGAAAGTGAGATAAGGGAGGACTACTGTATATATTTTTAAAAAGCCAGTGGCAGTTTATTACCCAACAGCCTGATCTGTTGTCAACAGGGATCGTTTGATTTATATCTAAAGTGAGGAAAGAGATTTCAGTCCTCCAGAATCATAGTTCTTGCGAACTTTAAGAGCAATAAAGGACAAAATTCTCTCAGAAGTAGCCATTACGTACTACCAGTGACCAAGAAGGAATTAAAATCAGGTCTATTACGGACTAGAACCTGTGAAAAACTTCACAATGTCCTAACTGGCCATTACATGTTACAGGACTTGTCCATGAAAGCAATTCCTGCCACTTATGACAATGCAAGAGAAAGCTAAGGTGTTTTGTTTCCGTTTTTGTTTTACTGGTCTACTCAGCGTTAGCAATAGAGAAAACGTGTCCCTCCTCTCCTGGATAAAGCGCATTGATTTAAGATTACTTGACTTCATTTATCCCAAAACAAAAGCAGAGGACTGATGATCTTACTGGAGTTTCGGCCTCCCTCTGTGCCTGCACTGCAGCAGGGGCTCTTCCAAGGAGGCTGGGACCGTGGGGGGGCGGGGGGTGTAGGGGGGTGCTTAGAGGAACCCTATCTAGAATCTAGATCCCCGGCAAAGGTAGGAAGAACGAAAGAACAAAAGCTCGAAATTGGGCCTGGTTAGGGACATGGCCAAAAAAAAGGAATAAACTAATAGACCTCACTGTCTCTCCGGCGAACGGGGCAGACGGGAACTACACTTCCCACAATACAAAGCGCTGGGGCGTTGCTAAAGACACTGTGTTTTTACCTCAAGTTGGCTCGAGGCGGCTCAGGTTTGGTTATAAAAGCCACTCCCTCTTCTTGGCTCTCCTCCACCTCAGCCTAATTGGCTCGGTAGTCCGTGCGTGGGAGGACGGCTCAGTCGACACTGGCAGCAGTTGAATGAAGGCTCTCGCCCAGGATCCTCACGGTCAATGAAGTCCTTTCTCTGGTCGGAGGTGTAGTTTCTCCGGCTGCGACAGAGCAAGAGGACTACATTTCCCAGGGAGCCACGGGTCTGCCGGCGGCGTGGGGGCGGTGCCCCACGTCTGGTACAGTCATCCCAAGCCTCTTCGGCGGGACTGTGATGGCCGGAGAGATGACGATCTTAGGTCAGTGACGGGGGGTTTCTGTCGGTGTTGCGGGCCCCAGAGCGGTTCGGGGAGGCCGGGGTGGGCGGGGGTGGTTGTCGCAGCTCCTGTAGCCAGCTGGCGCAGCGGGAAGGGCGCGGAAAGGTGACTTCGAGGCCGTTTTTGTCTGTTCGAGGCGCCGGGTGGGGGGTCGTATATATGGCCCAGGGCGAATAGGCCCAGGTAGGCCCGCGGCGACCCTTCGCCAGCAACCCAGGGACATCGGGCCTCGGGAAGGGTTCTTTCCAACAGAACGTCGATTTTGAATCGTTAGTTGAATTGGGGTCTTTGGGAGGCTGCAAAAATCTGAATCTTCGGGTCCCCTTTGTGGGAGAAGGGGGAGGAGCAGCAGCAGCGTCTGGATGGATGCTGGATTTTGAGATATCCAGGCCTCTTTAGCGTATAGTCCATTGCTCTTTCCATCAAACCGGGTGAGGAATTACCCTTCCCAGACCAGAAGGTGATGAAATGATGCTGAAATTTTGTTGCTCGTAGGAGTAAAAGGAAAGTGCCGTTGGCACTGAATTTCATTTCTCTGAATTGTGTGTTGAGGATGAGCTAACAATTACTAACAGATGGACGTTTGGGGTCGTATGTAACATGGGTGGCACGCAGGTGTGTAGCACAGCCTCCTGAAACCAGATAATAGATTGATTGTAAATTTGAAGTGCCATCTTTCTTCGTCAGTTATGTGTACAATTTGCATGGCATTTGTTCATATTCTTGTTTCATCACTTAATATTTATCGAGCATCTGCTGTTTGCTAGGAACCGATCCTGGTGCAGGGGATACAACAGTGAACAAAACCTGCCTTCAAGGAGCTTCCATTTATGTCGTCGTCAGGGTTATACACTTTTATGCTTCTCCTTCCCTAAATATTACCTCTGCAAGAAATACTTTAATTCATATTTAAATACAGAAGTTAACTATATTATGTTGTGAAGTGATCGTTTAATATCTAAGCAACTTTCAGAAGCATTTTATCCAGTTTATCCATTGCATCCGTTCGGAACGAAAATGGAGATTAGTGGATAAAGAGTTTTAGCCTTACAATAACAGTTTTTGCTGTGGGAATTTTAATAATGGAGTTTCTTTTTAATACTGCCAACTAAAATATTTATAAGACTATGAAATCTAAGTATCAATTGATCAAGAAATTGGATTCTATCTAGCTTTTTCTCCAGATGAGTGGCTTTTCCCGTCAGCATCAGCACAATTATTAGCCAAATGTTTTTATTTTTTATTCCTTAATTCACTCATAAATGAACTACACATACCTGCATCTACGGGGGTTTTTTGTTTTTGTTGTTACTTCATTTTAGTTGTGTAATAGGTTACATTATGGAAAACTTGATGTCTGAGAAAAGAGTTGCCATTAGTACTATAAAAGAAAATATTTTGAGAGTGTATTTTTAGTCGTTTCAAAGTGGTATCAAAGGGACTTTGCTATAGTAATTTAGCATATTGTAACTGATTTGGTAAGACATATCTTTGAATTTCCCTATATTTTCAGGATCAGCTGTTTTGACTCTCCTGTTGGCTGGCTATTTGGCACAACAGTATTTACCACTGCCTACTCCTAAAGTGATTGGCATTGACCTTGGCACCACCTACTGTTCGGTTGGGGTGTTCTTTCCTGGCAGTGGGAAAGTAAAGGTCATCCCAGATGAAAATGGGCATATCAGCATACCCAGCATGGTGTCCTTTACTGACAGTGATGTGTTTGTGGGGTATGAAAGCTTAGAGCTGGCAGATTCAAATCCTCAGAATACAATATATGATGCCAAAAGATTCATAGGCAAGATTTTTACCCCAGAAGAGCTGGAGGCTGAAATTGGCAGATACCCATTTAAGGTAAGTGATTAAGCTAAAATCCGTTTTAATTTTAGTTGAGCATACTGTTTCAATTAATGCTTTGGCTTCAAGTTACAAAACCTTTCTGTTTCAACTGATTTAATCTTCATAGAAGTTATATTATCTCCTATAACAAGCAATCCCACAGCAGCTCCAGCGGAGTTATGAGTTAATTCAGTAGCTCCACAAGGCTATCAAGGACTTAGGGCCTTACCGTATTCTTGTTCTGCCATCCTCAGAGTGTCTGCTTAGCTCTTTTATTGTAGCAAGAAAACTAATAAAGCCCAGTGTAGACAGATAGGAAGATGGATGGATAGACAGATACTCTGTTTGTATGTGAGAGTATACATATCTGTATACATAAAAAGATCATACTAGGTATGCTGTTTTATGACTTATTTGAAACTCAACAATACGTCATGGACAATTAGTTAATAGATGCACATCATTGTCTTTCATGGTTTCGTGGGACGACTGCTCTATTATTTAATTGTTTGGTCTCTATCAGGGTACATTTTATTTTATCCCTGGTTTTCCACTAATGTTGGAGCTTCATTGAATATTCTCATACATATATCTTTGTACACTTCTCTGATGATTTCCTAAGCTTGAATTCTAGAAGTAGAATTTTAGATCAAATGTGTGCTCGTTTTTAAGGCTTTTGATTTATGTTGCCAAATTGTGCACCAGAAAGGTTATGTGCTCTTGACTATCTTTTAGAGTGCCTGTATCTTCACTAGTTATTATTTTTCAGTCTTTGCCAACAGGTAAGTGAAAAACAGTATGTTGGATTAATTTGCATTCCTTTGATTTCTAGTGAGATCAGATGTTAAAAAATTTGTTGGCAATTTTATTTTCTTTAGTGATCCCTTGTCCTTTGTCATGTTTCCTCTTGGGGTTTTTAACTTTTCCGTAATGACTGTAAAAGTACATTTGTGATGTTTTCAGTATGTTTTCCTTTTATTTATTTTTTCCTTTTATTGATGATAAATAATTTTGTTTTTGTGCTATCAAGAGTGTTAAATTTTTGTGTGGTACAATCATCTCAATAATTTTTAACAGTGGTTTTGGACTGTTACTGTGCTGACAGTGGCATTTCCCGTTGTATTTTTTTTCTAATGCTTTTATATGAGTGTTTGTAGGTTTGACTTTTGCTGAGTTTTTTCTTTTAAACATTTAAATCTTTGTTCCATGTCGAGTTTTTCTTGTAAATTATGAAGTGGGATTCTAAATGAATAGATTTTAAAATAGTTAGTTGTATCAGTGCCACTTCTTGATTAACCTGTCTATAAAAATTCTCAAATTTTTCATCTACTTTCAAAGGAGAAAAAAATTTCTCCATGAGTTTCTTAGGTTTTTCTTTGTTCCTTTTTAGCCTCTTTCTTAGGATCCTTTATTAATTTATAATCTTTCTTATATAATGATACATTCATATAAAGCTATACATTTTCTCCAAATTATATTACAGCTTTGGGTACATTACTTATTGATCTGGGAGTTATTGTATGGGTTTTTTTCCTTAAGTTTCTTTGTGATCTAGAAAATCTAAGTTTCTGTTTTGTGTGAGCTCTGATGGTATTGGTGTCTCTCCACCTTATTTTAATACTTTCTGAAGCGTGGTTTTGTTTTCCCCAGACAGGTGAAATACTTTCAGGAAGGTCAGGTTTTCTTGATTGACACCTAATGGGGTAAAATTCTGATAATTTCTTAGAACAGACTAATTCTCTTTACTGTTGATGTTAGTATAATCTATTGGTGAAACTAGGATAGTATGTTTTAGAATTAATCTAGTTTTTTATATTAAAACAAACTAATTAAAAACAAATTAATTTTTTTAAAAAAGAAGATCCTGCATCACATACATGATTCAGCAATTGTCATTCCTTAATTTCATCATTCATTTTTTTCTTTCATTCATTTAACAGATATATATTGAGAATCTTCTGTTATAATTATATGCTTGATAATGAATTTTATTACTCTGCTGTTACATGGTGTGGATTCATTTTATAGATTTTAAAGTATAACTTTGAATAACCTCTAATCTTAGTAAATGTACTTGATAGATTACAGATGAATTTTATGAACTTGTAAAGGTAAAAGTAACTTTTGATTGATTAAGTCCGGTACACATGTATGTGTATAAGTATATATAGATACACACACTCTCTTACACTTTTTTTTTTAATCTTGGTCACAGGTTTTAAACAAAAATGGAATGGTTGAGTTTTCTGTGACAAGTAATGAGACCATCACAGTTTCCCCAGAATATGTTGGCTCTAGACTGTTGTTGAAATTGAAGGAAATGGCAGAGGAATACCTTGGAATGCCAGTCGCCAATGCTGTTATTTCTGTACCAGCAGAATTTGATCTAAAACAGAGAAATTCAACAATTGAAGCTGCTAACCTAGCAGGTAGTATCACCCTTGTGTGAGTTTGCATTTTTCTCAAAATTTTCTTAGGTTGAAAATCTTCTGTAGTAAAGTGTATCTCTTTGCAAATCACCTAACTAGGCAGATAAATAAACTATATGGTAGGTAAATCAGAAGGATATAGGATTATGAACAATAATCAAGAAAGCTCCATAGCATAAAGTAAATATGTATATTACAACCACAGCCAGTCAGATAGGCACATGACAAAGGCTGAGAGAGAACATGGACTCATGTTAGCAATGAGGAATTTTTTCTTCTAAACTTTCTTTAATAGTAACGTGAATATAATGTTTTAAAAAAATCTGAGGTAGAGAGGATTCATTTAACACGATTTAACAAATATTGAGTGCCTGGGTGAACAAAACAGATCAATCCTTATTCTCATGGGACTTACATTCTACTGGAAGGAAACAGAAAATCAACATTAAAGACAAGTATATCGTGGGGTTTCTCACCCTTAGTTTTACTGATATTTTGGG